TGAGAACATTCGATGTTTGGTTCTCTGTTCTTGTGTCAGTTTGCTGAGAATGATGGTTTCTAGCTTTATCCATGTCCCTGCAAAGGACATGAATGCATCCTTTTTGTGGCTGTGTAGTATTCCATGGTGTATATATGCCACATTTTCTTTATCCAGTCTATCATTGATGGGAATATTGAGGATTTTTGCATCAATGTTCATCAGGGATATTGGCCTGAATTTTTCATTTTTTGTTGTGTCTCTGCAAGGTTTTGGTATCAGAATGATGCTTGCCTCATAAAATGAATTAGGGAGGAGTCCCTCTTTTTCTATCTTTTGGAATAGTTTTAGAAGGAATGGTACCAGCTCTTCTTTGTACCTCTAGTAGAATTTGTTTGTGAATTCATCTGGTCCTGGGCTTTTTTGGGGGGGTTGGTAGACTATTACTGCCTCAATTTTAGAACTTATTATTAGTCTACTCAGGGTTTCAACTTCTTCCTGGTTTAGTCTTAGGAGGGTGTATGTGCTCAGGAATTTGTCCATTTCTTCTAGATTTTCCTAGTTTATTTGCATAGAGATGTGTATAGTATTCTCTGATGGTAGTTTGTATTTCTATGGGATCAGTAGTGATCTTCCCTTTATCATTTTTATTATATCTATTTGATTCTTCTGTCTTTTCTTCTGTATTAGTCTGGCTAGCAGTCCATTTATTTTGTCAATCTTTACAAAAAAAAACAGCTCCTGGATTCATTGATTTTTTGAAGGGGTTTTCATGTTTCTATCTCATTCAGTTCTGCTCTGATCTTAGTTATTTCTTGTCTTCTGCTAGCTCTTGAATTTGTTCCCTGTTGCTTCTCTAGTTCTTTTAATCATGATGTTAGGGTGTCAATTTTAGATCTTTCCTGTTTTCTGATGTGAGCATTTACTGCTGTAAATTTCCCTGTCAACACTCTTTTAGCTGTGTCCTAGAGATTCTGGTATGTTATCTCTTTGTTATCATTGGTTTCATAGAACTTATTTATTTCCGGTTTAATTTTGTTATTTTCACAGTAGCCATCCAGGAGCAGGTTGTTAAATTTCCATGTAGTTGTGCAGTTTTGAGTGAGTTTCTTAATCCTGAGTTCTAATTTGATTGCACTGCAGCCTGAGAGACTGTTTGTTATGATTGTCGTTCTCTTGCATTTGCTGAGGAGTGTTTTACTTCCAATTAATGTGGTTGATTGTAGAGTATGTGCTATGTGGTGCTTAGAAGAATCTATATTCTGTTGATGTGGGGCGGAGAGTTCTGTAAATGTCTGTTAGGTCTGCGTGGTTCAGAGCTGAGTTCAAGTCCTGAATATCCTTGTTAATTTTCTGTCGCATTGATCTGTCTAATATTGACAGTGGAGTGTTAAATTATCCTGCTATTAGTGTGTGGGAGTCCAAGTCTCTTTGTAGGTTTCTAAGAACTTATTTTATGAATCTGGGTGTTCTTGTATTGGGTGCATATGTATTTAGGATAGTTAGCTCTTCTTGTTGCATTGATCCATTTACCATTATGTAATGCCCTTCTGTATCTTTTAATCTTTGTTGGTTTAAAGTCTGTTTTATTAGAGACTAGGATTGCAACCCCTGCTTTTTTTGCTTTCCATTTGCTTGGTAAATATTTCTTCATCCCTTTATTTTGAGCCTATGTGTGTCTTTGCACATGAGATGGGTCTCTGAATACAGCACACCAATGGTTCTTGTCTCTTTATCCAATTTGTCAGTCTGTATCTTTTAATTGGGGCATTTAGTCCATTTGCATTTAAGGTTAATATTATTGCGTGAATTTGATCTGGTCATCATGATGCTAGCCAGTTATTTTGCGCATTAGTTGATGCAGCTTCTTTATGTCATTTGATCTCTATATTTTGGTGTGTTTTTGCAATGGCTGGTGTCAGTTTTTCCTTCTATTTTTAGTGTTTTTTTCAGGGAGTTCTTGTAAGGTAGGCATGGTGGTGACAAAGTCCCCCAACATTTGCTTCTCTGTAAAAGATTTAATTTCTCCTTTGCTTATGAAGCTTAGTTTGGCTAAATATGAAATTCTGGGCCAAAAATTATTTTCTTTAAGAATGCTGAATATTGGCCCCCACTCTATTCTGGATTTTAGAGTTTATGTAAAGAGATCTGCTGTTAGTCTGATGGGTTTCGCTTTATAGGTAACCTGACCTTTCTCTCTGGCTGCCCTCAGCATTTATTCTTTCATTTCAATCTTGGAGAATCTGATGATTATGTGTCTTGGGGTTGCTCTTCTTGAGGATTATCTTAATGGTGTCCTCTGTATTTCCTGAATTTGAATGTTGGCCTGTCTTGTTAGATTGGGGAAGTTCTCCTGTTTAATATCCTGAAGTGTGTTTTCCAGCTTGATTCCTTTTGCCCCATCAACTTCAGGTACACCAATCAATCATAGGTTTGGTCTTTTCACATAGTCCCATATTTCTTGGAGACATTGTTTGTTCCTTTTCATTCTTTTTATTTCTCTAATCTTGTTTTTACACCTTATTTCATTAAGTTGATCTTCAATCTCTAATATCCTTTCTTCCACTCAAAGTCTATTATTTCTTATATACTGCACACATTCCAGGCAGGATCCATGTTAATAATAGATTCCCTTCCCCAGGACAGTGTAGTCATCCCCAGCTTCTACGAGTGTTGGCTACTCTTGGCTCACAGTTGTCCCTTTCCCTAGAAAACTCAACCTCGGCCAGTGAGAGTCACCATTGTACAGTAGCATATACCTCTACCCCAAGAAACAGCACAACAAATGACGACTTTATTCTTACCCACAATAGGTCAGAGCAGTCTGGTCCCCTTGCCTCAGTGTGGGAGGAATCAACCCTGTGATGTATTTCATGCTCCAGAGCTCACATGAGGTCAGGCTGGATCAAGACTCCCACTAGACCGTGTCCATGCTTAGACATTTCCCTGTCTCAACCTGGTTTCCCCAGTAAATTATGGAAAAAGAATTCTATATGCAGTCTTTGCTTTTAAGGAACTTGTCCCAAGACAATATTTTCTTATTGAATCCTGAAACCAGTCCTGAAATATACATAATACTATAGCTTAATATGAAAAGGACCATAAGTAACATAATCATTATTCAAACCAGCACCACAGCCTGAGTTCTTTCCACAGTGCCATGAAGCCAGAAGGTCATATGATAAAGCTGAAACTAAAATTTAAGTATCTTGATTCTAGCACAACTGTTTACTCTTCCTCACTGCTTTTTAAATCTTTCTTCCATGACTGGGAAATATTTGGTCATCATCTTCACTTCTGCAGAGTAAGAAATTGCAGCAACTTCTGACTTGGCTGCATCCTTTTCATCAGTGACTATCAACAAAACTGGACAGAAATCTTTATTCTTCATTTCCAAGCTTTTCCCAACTTCTGGACTATATGAGTAATGTCATGCCTATCAGACCACAACTTCAGTTTTACAATACATGTGACTTTCAAATGTTTTGCCTGTAATTCAAAGTAATATCTACTAAAAGGCCTTCTTTTATTAGGCCACAAACACTTTCCCTGTGCTTGACATACATTGAGAGGCAAATCTGGTGCATCCTAGTCAGGGGATGGAGACATTCATATGATCTTCAGTGTTTCCAACTCTCCAGACAAACATTTGCTGAAGCAGTCTCAATTCCATATGGTCTTTGGTATCTTATTTCATACAGGTCTTTACTCAGCATAACAAAGACCCTTGGTGTTTGAACCACTTTTAGATACTTAGAGACCCTTCTCAAAAAAAGTTTAAGTCCTTCTGTTCTCTCATGCCCTGCCGGGGAGATGAGGTACTCTGTAACTATAGCCAATGCTCCCTCCCATCTCCATGCCACACTCAGTTACTTAGGAATCAACAAACTGTCCCATCAAACTCAAGCTTGGAGTTTTGAATTTGATTCAGAGTTTATCCCAAAATAGCAACATAGACCCTCTCTAATCTTTAGTCTGTGCAACTAATTAGACTTTTTTTAAAACAGTTCTCGCCCTCTGACTCTAGTTCTTCCATCTATCCATCAGTTGTACCTTTATATAATTCAGGAGTGATGTTGCAGTTGAGTCTGGAGATGGAGTTAGGGTTCTATAACTAAAAAAATTATGACTTATAGGATTTTTAGAGTAGTTTGATTATTATTTTTCTTCACTTTGCATTTCTGTTTTACTGTTTCATTCCTAAAGCAATGTCTATCAAATGCCTTGGGGAAAGAACAAAGTACTTTAGGAACCATGAAAGCATATCTGTTACCATATAAAAATCTTTTTCTTGTCCTTGATAAAAAGAATCATAAAACCAATCTCGTAAAGTAAAGATGTGGCATAAAAGTAGAATGGGCATACATTAAATAAGTGCACCTTTGGTATAGCAATAATAACTTAATAAAAAAAACAAGGGAGGAAGCAAATTTTTAGAAATGATATATGTTTATGGCATAATTGTCTTGTCTGTATAAAGTGAATATGTGGACCTTTCTGTATGTCAATGATACCTCAATGAAAATATTTTGTTTTGTTGTTGTTTTCTATTTTGTTTCTGTTTGTTTTCTGAGACGGGGTCTCACTCCATCGTCCAGGCTGGAGTGCAGTGATGTGATCACAGCTCACTGCAGCCTCCACCTCTCGGGCTCCCACCTCCGCTCTGCCAAGTTGCTGGGACTCCAGGCGCATGTCACCACTCCTGGTGATTTTTCTTTTTTTTTTGAGACAAGGTCCCCCTATCTTGCCCAGGCTGGTCTCAAACTCCTGGGCTCAAGTTATCCTCCTCCCTCTGCCTCCAAAAGTGTTGGGATTACAGACATGAGCCACCAAGCCCAGCCAAAAAAAAATTTTTAAACTTAAGTGGAAAGAGAAGACTAGAAAACATTTCAAGTAGACCAAATGGCATCTTTCATTTTCCTTTGGGCTCTCAATTATTTTCAGAATTATGAAAATATTTCCCAAATCAATCAAACCTTTAATACGACTACTCTTAGTTTTCATTTGCATCTAGAGAGCAAACTTCATTGCCTTGCAGTCTAAGCTCTACATCAGGCATTCCTGAGGCACATCAGGTTTGGGTACAGACTGCAGGTGTCTGGGGAGCACTGTGTGCTCATTGCACAGAAGTAGGTGGCTGAATCACTGGGCTGGGAGTCTCTGATGAACAAGGAGGTATACTGGCTGGATTTATTGAGCTGTGCTGTAAACCTTCCATCTTCTGTTTTATCACTGGAGTATATCAACATCAGCAACTCAGGACCTTTTCTGGAATACTGTCTGTACCACATGAAGTATTGAAAAGCACGGTTGCTGTAAGTGCAGCTGAGAGAGGCAATGGCTCCCTCTGGAACACTGAGGGGTCCAGGATTCTGCTCCACCTCCTTCTGTTGGCTCCAAACCCCTGTGAAGAAGACAGTGGACAGACAGAGAAGACAGATTGAGTAGTGGACACTTAGTCCCCACACTAAGAATTTAAATTATCTTTTCACAGGTCCTCCACTCTCCCCAGTCTCACTTTGTTAGAGAAAAAAATCACTCATGTTTCTTCCCACAGGCCTAGAATAGACAATAATTGCAAACAATGAACATGTACATTATGTTTCTATAGAGATGCCCAAAACTCACAGCTTAACTGAAGCTGCAGGATCGCCAGTAAAATTCTCAAGAATTTCATCATTCTTTTCTGCCCTGGTTCACTGAGGATTCAAACCTTAAACCCTAAAAAAAAAAAAAAATGTAGCTCAGACGTTTCTCATTTTTCTTTTTAAAACCTCTGCTCCATCACTAAGCTCCTCCCTCATATTTCCTCTGTCTCTTTCTCATTCGTGTGTGTGTGTGTGCACTTGCACGTGCACCTGTGTCCTCCCTCTCCTCCCCCCACAGGAGCACAAGAAAGCTTTTCTCAGGGTCCCTGAGAAGACACTGCCATCTTGAGGACTCATAAAAGTGATCAAATATGTATTCAAACTACAGATTCATGTTATGTGAACTGTTAAAAGTGAAAATGACACTTTAGTTAAATTCAGAAGATACACAGTTCTCAAACAACTCAACACCAAAAAAAGAAAAAGAAAGTCAAACAATCCCATTTTAAAATGGGCAGAAGATCTAAGTTGACATTTCTCAAAAGAAGACAGATGGCCAATAAGTATTTAAAACATGCTTGACATCACTGATTATCAAGGAAGTGCAAATCAAAACCACAATGAAATATCATCCTATCCCAATTAGAATGGCTATTATTAAAAAGATAAAAAGTAATAGATGTGATGAGGATGCATAGAAAAGGGAACTCTCAAACATTGTTGGTAGGAATGTAAATTAGTACAGCCACTCTGGAAAATAGTAGGGAAATTTCTCAAAAAACTAATAATAGAAGTACCATACAATCCAGCAATCCAACTATTGAGTATTTATCCAAAGGAAAGGAAATCAGTGTATTGAAGGCATATCTGCCTCCTCACGTTTATTGCAGCACTATCACATACTATGAGGCCAGCATTATTCTGATACCAAAATCTAGAAGAGACACAACAGAAAAAAAAGAAAACTTCAGGCCAATATCCTTGGTGAATATACATGCAAAAGTCCTAAACAAAATACTAGCAAACCAAATCCTGCCACTAATCCAACACAATTGAATAGTCTTTATTTCTGAAATGCAAGGTTAGTTTAACATACACAAATCAATAAATGTGATTCATCACATAAACAGAACTAAAAAAACTACATTATCACCTCAATAGGCATAAAAAATATTTGATGAAATTCAAAATCCCTCCAGGTTAAAAATCCTCAACAAAGTAGGCATTGAAGAAACATACTTCGAAATAGTAACAATCTGTCAAAATAAGAGCCATCTTTGACAAGTCCACAGCCAATATTATATTGAACAAGCAAGAACTGGAAGCATTCCCTTTGAGAACCAAAACATGACAAAGATGCTCACTCTCACCACTCTTATTTAACACAGTACTGGATATCCTAGCCAGAACATTCAGGCAAGAGAATGAAATAAATGGCATCCAAATAGGAAGAGTGGAAGTCAAACTCTTTCTTCTCAGACCATATGATGTTTTACCTAGAAAATCCCATGGCCTCTGCTAAAAGCCTCCTCGATTTAATTTTTTAAAAGTCTTCAGCAAAGTTTCACGATATGAAATCGATGTACAAGAATCAGTAGCATTCTATAAACCGAAAACATCCAAGCTGAAAGCAAAATCACGAATGCTATCCCATTCATTATAGCCACACAAAAATGTTATCTAGGAACAGCTAACCAGGGAGGTGAAAGATACCTAAAATAAGAGTTACAAAACACAGCTGAAAGAAATCATAGACCACGTGAACAAACAGAAAGACATTTCATGCTCATAGATTGGAAGAATCAATGTCATCAAAATGTCCATACTGCCCAAAGAATCTACAGATTCAACACTATTCCTATCGAATTATCAGTGTCGTTTTTCACAGAATTAGTAGAAACCATCCTAAAATTCATATGGAACCAGAAAAGAGCCTGAATAGCCAAAGTAATCCTTAGCAAAAGAAAGAACAAAACTGGAAACATCACATTACCCAGTACCCTGTTGTTCCGCCTCCAGCCACAGTCTAACTGCAACTGCATTAGAGTCCCAGCCAGAACTGCCCAGCTCAGCACTTCCCAAATTCCTGACCCAGAGAAACCATGAGCAATAATAAAAATGGTTGCTGTTGTCTTAAGCCACTAAGCTTTGGGGCAATTTATTATGCAGCAATAGGGGGCCAGAATACCTGTGTTACACTCCTAGCTTCCATTTTGCTGTAATTTATGCCTTGAGTAAGTGATGCTGTCCCTGTTGATTCTACATTTTTCATTATTAAATGAGGAGCATAAGCTGGATTAGTATTAGTATTTTCTAAACTGTGGTTAACATAGAAGGTCATGATAGGCAGTACACAGATGGCCTTTTAAATTGTTATACATGTAATGTTATTTTAATTTGTAACAGGAACAAATATCGCCTGCACATATAGATGTATAGCTTATTTCAGCCTTTCAGCCTGAAAGCCACACTTTTTTCCAGGAGCAATACAAAGATATTGAAGCATGTTTGACAAGTGGAGAAAGCTCTTTATTTATACTTTAACAAATCATTCTGGCATCCCATCAGATGGGTGCTTCTTAAACTTTGCTGTGGTAGAATTGCCTGGAAATCTTGGGGAAAAAATGCAGATTAAAATTCAATCAGCCTGGGGTGGATCCTGAGAATAAGCACAATTTCAGACAATGTTGGTTCACACTTTGAGTAGCAAGGACATAGATAATTAATTGCCTCCAGAAAAAAAGAGACCAGTTAGAAGGTAGATTGGACCAGAACAGTATTTTTCACGCTTTCAAAAAATACGTGTTACCGTATGAAGGGATACTTACTCTGCGTGATGAAATCTGATGTTCTTATCCCATTTTATTCATTTATTTTAACAATAAAAGGTATAAAATCACAAGTTAAAAGAAAAGAATAATACAAAATGAAATTTTTACTTAACAAAATGGAAGCTAGTTTAAAATAATAATGTTTACAATTGGTAAAATATTGGAAAATCAGCATCATCATGCGCTACTGTTGAAATTACTGTTGAAGTTTGGTGAGAAATAGCTTCATGGAAATTAGGGATTCAGTTATCATGTGTTTTTCTTTACGCAAGAAACTCCACTTCCATTAAAGCTACAACTTTAACGATGTTAATAAAAACATTGTCTATAATACTGTATAAGTAGAAACAATACAAAAAAAAGATTTTTTTAGAAAGCATATTTATATAATGGAAACTAGGCAATAATTTACAATTTTTCCCTCAATATATGCTTCCTGAGTTGAAAATACTAAATATAAAGTTGAAATTTAAAAGTATGTTAATAAACTTGATATAAACCACATTTATACAAAAATATAGCTTTATATGTGCACCAAAATTTTTTCTCCATGCAAATAGCTATCATTTCTAGGTTATGAAATTATAGGAGTGTTCTACCTTTTCTGGATGTTTATATCTCTTAATTTATTCTAATGAACATATAATTAAGTAATAAAAATATAATTTAGTTTTAAATTACAACATATCACTTCTTTTTTTCAAACACTGAATCCTGCTTTACATCCTTCATGGAAGAAGCAAGTGACAAGGGGCCAGAATGTCTGTGTTCCACTCCTAGCTTCCATTTCTCTGTCATTCATACTTTGAATAAGTGATGCTGTCCCTGTTGATTCTACTTTTTTCATCTATTAAATGAGGGGCATGAGCTGGATCAGTATTTTCTAAATTGTGGTTAACATAGAAGGTCATGACAGGCAGTACATAGACGGTCTTTTAAGTTGTTATACATGTAATGTCATTTTACTTTGTATCAGGAACAAATATAGCCTGCACATCAGATGTATAGTTTATATTAAATATGGTTTCACTGATAGTGTCCATTAAAATAATATTTTACATAGTTTTGAAGTCTACTCAACATAAAAGTTAATCTAATATTAAATTAAGTAAATGATAATATAGATGATACAAATACAAGAAACATCATGAATTTACAAGCAGATGGGTAAAATACTGTTGGTCAGAGTACAGCGTGGGGAAAACTTGCCTCTTGGCCTCAGAGCCCGTGCCACAGTGGTCTGTCCCTTTACAATAAAGAACAGAGCAGTGGAAGGGATCTGTGGGCAATCGGGCCTGGAACCAGCAGAGCACAATCTACACTGAGGAATGAAATTTCAATAATAACAAAATGAAATTTAATTTAATATAAATTCAGCTTCATCACAAAAGACAGATGGTGTATTACCTTCAGTTCTGTTTGGAGACAGAGGTTATAAAGAAAGTTCTCTCTACATATAAAGACAACAACTTCACTCCCACCTGTATGGCTAAGCCTGTGTCAAGGGTCCCAGCTGTAGGTCGTGGTACAGGCTGCAGGTGCTTGGGGACACTGTGCCACAAAGCACAGAAGTGGGTGCCTGGATCTCTGGGATAAGAAGCCAGCATATTCAAAACACTATAAAATTTCTCTTTTCCAAGCACTTCTTTAAAATGTTTGTCTCCCTGCTTCTTACGGCTTGATTGAATTAAGGTCAAAGACACAAGTTCTTTTCCAGAACTGCAGGAACCAATGGAAGTTGAAGAACATTCTCTCCTCATAAATACAATTAAGAATCGTGTGCATTCCCTCCTGGATACTCAGGAATGAAGGACTCTGCTCCAGTGTATGGAAGCTGTTCACCCCTGTTTAAACAGAGAAGCACAGACTACCCACTGAGTGGCGCCCATGAAGGACAAATTAAAACTAAGGTAGCAGAGAGTTCAGGAACTGACCTGAGATTTGAAACACCCAAACAGGTTTCTGAATAGAAATGAACTAACAACAAAAGATTGTATGATTTTTCGTTTGTGTGTGTGTAAACAGCTTATATATGAAGCAGCTAGAGAAAAACAATATATTACATCATTGAAGGACAAACTTGAATGGCCATGGATTTCTGTTCAGAAAGCATGGAGTCCAAAAGACAATGAAATGGCATCTTTAAAGTGGGGTGGGGCAGGGGGAGTGTTGACAGAATTACAGACCCAGTAAAAACTCTCTTCCAGAAATAAAGGGCAAGTTAAAAATATATTTTCAGATAATGAACAAATGAAAAATATGGTTCCCAGCAAATCTACTCTAGAAGAAGTCCTAAAGGAAGTTTTTAAGTTTGAAGGGAATTTCAGATATATCCCCTGGTATCAGAGGAAAAGGCAAATCTTCAGGAACAAAGGAATACCAGAAATGATAAATAGCTGTTAAGTATAAAATACTTCTTATTCTTCTCCTTAAATTGTATAAAGCACATATAATTGTTGAAAGCAAAAACTATAACATTGTATGGTAAAGTTTTCTGTATATTGTGATTTAAAAAAAAAAAAATGAAACAAGGATCTCGCTCTACTGCCTAGGCTGGAATACAGTGGCATGATCATAGCTAACTGCAGCCTCGAACTCCTAGGCTCAAGCTATCATACAGTCTCAATCTCCCGAGTAGTTGAGACTACAGATAAATGCCACTGTACCCGGCTAATTTTTTTTATTTCATAGAGGTGGGGTCTCACTTTGTTGCCCAGGCTTGTCTCAAACTCCTGAGTTCAAGCAAACCTCCTGCCTCTGCCTCCCAAAGTGTTGGGATTATAAACATGAGCCACTGCGCCAGGCCTGATGAAGTTTTCAATGTATGTAACTAATGTATATGAACAACAATAACAAACTTTAGTGTTGGTCAAGAGACATTGTATAAGATTTCGACATTTCACATAAAGAGGCATGATATTTGCTCACAGAAGACCCTGGATAATTAGGCATGTACGTTGCCGTCTCCAGAGCAACTACTCAAAAAGTACAGAGATATAGCCAAAAAGTTCATAATTAAAAGATGAATTTAAAAGTATTTAAATAACCTAAAAGGAGTCAGAAAAAAAAGAACATGGGTGAAACATAAAAACAATAACGAAATATACTTAAATTCAACCTACTTGATATTTATATTCAATTTTAATTATCTAAACTTCACAATGCAGAAACACACTTTAAAGTCATAGTTTAAAACTAAATAGTTGAAAAAGATACAGCATACATCAGTAAGCATCAGAAACTTTGAGTGGCTATTTAACATTATAAAACAGACTTCAAGGTTGAGTTCTTGAGTCACAGAAAGTCTCAGTATCTCAGGAGGTTTGTGTTCAGCTCCCCTGCAGTCTCAGGCACTGTGTCACTCACAGCACAGAAGTACTCGGCTGCATCGCTCACATGGGCTGGGGATTTCTTCAGGTGGAAAGAGCTTTCACTCTTCTTCATTTCAGCCTCAAAACCTTTGATGCCTTTAACCAGGGTGGGTCCTGATACATACTTCAGGAGAAACTGGAGTCCTTGGTTGGGGTATCGCACGTACCAGAAGGGATACACTGAAACAGACGACGAATAGTTGCACTTCAGCAGCACAGGGGCTCCTTCAGAGACAGTGACCTGGCCGTCAAGCTGGGTCACAGACTGGGCTCTGGTTCCTCCTGCAACACCAATACTGTGTAAGTAAAAGCAGCACAGACTTCTCTAAGAAAAGATGTGTCTATTTAGAGGCAATTACAACATAGTCACATTTACAAAAGGAGGAAAAGGAATGGAATGCTACTCACCCAGGACAAAAATCACCGCGAGCACTGGGACGAGCAGCAGGAGCATGGCTGAGCAGTAGCAACGCTGCAGGACCCTCAGCAGAGCGGACAGAAGCCAAGAGCACTGAGCCTCGGGAGCTAGGAGCAGTGGGGAGGTTGGACTGGACAAGTCCCTGACTTTGAAAAGTTTCGAAAACGGTTAAAGAAAGGTTTTCTCTTAAAGAGCCTGGATGCTTTCTGGCCTCTTGTTCTCGTCACAGCTCCGTATCTACACAGACAGCAGTGAGCTGCATCAGCCAGCTGCAGGAGGGAGGCTCAGTGGATGAGAATGGTCTGCAGTAAACATAAATGCCTCCTTAGTGCAACGTCGCCCCCTGGAGGCCACAGGCGAAACCACGGATCCAAGGAAGTGAATGGTTTGCTTCTCGTTTGAGACACGATATTAAAACCAACAGAAAATGTTTCTTTCTTCCCGAATGTGTGATGATGTCACCTTCTGTAGAGTACATGGTTTTAATCTTAGATACATGAGAAATGAGAGTTATTTAAAAATAGAAGAGTAATTTATTTTACTGAGCAATTATTCACAGAAGACAACATTCTTGACTTTGGAATACCATTGAGACAGTCTATATTATTTTGTGAAGTCATTCATCAGGGAGAGGGGATGTGATCAATTGGCCCAGTCGGGGCTGAGTTCATATGCCTTGTGTTTCTGAATGTAAGCATTACAATAAATGAAAAAGATTATTCCCTTATTCAATTATTTTTTTAAAAAAAAAGTTAGATCAGAGACTCATATTTAAAGTCAGTGTGGATCACATGTCATTAATTAATTAATCAAGGCAAACAAATAAGGCAAGATTTTTTTTGTTAAACGAAAATGTGAAAGAGGCCCCTTGACAACTTTGATATCTGTAACTGTAGGAAAAAACAACTTAGGTACTTCATGTTTAAAAAGAGTCCTGTTCCAATTGTCAATGCTCCTATAGACTGATATATTATGCCATGTTATGATATATCACACCAGAAAGAACATTAATAGAGGCCCATCTATGGAGAAACTTGAGTGGAATGATAAGTGTAAGAAAATATAGCAAATAAATAATCCTGGGAAGAAATAGGAAAAGAAAAGAAAAATAAACCTGTGTTAACTCAGTAAAGTTGGGAGGAGTGTAACCAGCAGACAAGAAATGAGAGGACCTTGTGGGAGGTATAGAAGCTTTGAGAGACATTGACAGGAACACTCAACAGAGCTAGGCAAGCAGCAGTCCCTGTGGGTGGGATACAGGTGGTATTGAACTGGAGCAGTCAACTCTTATAGCCTAATAAGATGAAACTCTTGAATGAGAAGCTGTCTTCATCCAACTTATTTTATCACAGAGATCACTGGATCCTAAAATTGAAAAAGCCAAATAAGGAGAGAAATCTCAGGCAAAATGAGAATCTGGCCAACAAGTATTCCTTTCACAAGGTCAGAACAAAGTCTCTTTTTTCTGCGTACTCCATTCACTCGTGCCAGCCTGGAATCAGTTTTCCCTTGCACTTCTGATCTATTTCTTGATTCTCCCTATAGATTTTTTATGTGTAAGACAAAATTACTTAGCCAGCTTGAAAATTTAAATGTTACTAGGATGTGCTCCTGATTCAAAATTCCTAACTGAGCATATGTATTCTCCTCCTCTCTTTCCAATATTCCCACTGAAATAAAATTTAGAAGTATAAAAATAATTACTTGAATCCATAATGGTAAAAGTAATAAAAAGATGAAAGGTATCACAACTTCTGGCTACTCTTGGCTCACAGTTGCCCCTTTCCCTAGAAAATCAACCTCTGCCAATGAGAGTCACCATTGTCCAGTGGAGTATACTTAGACCCCAAGAAACACCACAGCCAGTGACGACTTTATTCTTGTGCACAATAGGTCAGCAGTCTGGTCCCCTTGCCTAAGTGTGGAAAGGATCGATCTTGTGATGCAATTCATGTTCCAGAGCTCCCATGAGATCAGGCTGGATAAAGACTCCACTAGCTGGCACGTTTATGCTTAGCCTTTTCCCATCTCAACCTGGTTTCCTCAATCAATTATGGATAAAGAATTTCCAATTCAGGCTCTGCTTCTAATGAACTTATCCCAAGACAATATTTCATCTTATTTAATCCTGAGTCCAATCCTGAAATATATATAATAGTATAGCTTAATATAAATGGCCCATTAGGAACATAATTGATATTCAAATGAGCACCACGGCCCAGGTTCTTTCCAGAGTGCCAGAGTGCCTGAAGGCATACGATAAAAGTGGCACTAAAATTCAAGTACTTTGATTTTGATTTCAGTACAACTTTCTGATCATCCTCACTGCCTTACAAACCTTTTTTACATGACTTGGCAATATTTCTTCAAAGTCTTCGGTTCTGCAGATTAACAATTTGAAGCAAATGTTGACAGGTTTGCCTCTTTCATTAGTAACTACATAAACTAGCTCAACAGAAATCACAAGACGGCGTTTCCAAATTTTTTCCACCTCCTGTACTACATAAACAATGTCATGACTAACAGACCACAAATTTGGTTTTACAATAAATGTGACTTTTCAAGCTTTTTTCTATAATTCAATATACTAAACAGCATTATTTTCATTAGAAAACAAATATTTTTCCTGGACTTGGCATACCTTGCAGGACAAATCTATAGTGCCAGGTGGTCAGAGGAGGGAGTCCTTTATATGCTCTTTAGCATTTCCAGCTCTCCTGACCAACATTTGCTGAAACCTTCTCAATGCCATATGGTCTTTGGCAACTGATTTTTACAGGTCTTTGCTCACCATACTAAAGCCCCTTGATGTCTGGACTTCTTTTAGATACTTACTCAGAGATCCTCCTCAATAAATTTTAGGTTGTTCCATGCTCCCATGCCCTGCCTAGGGATATGGCATGCTATGGTGAGGGCTAATGCTCCCTATCATCTCCAAGACACACTTACACACATAGGTATCAATATATTATTTTACAAGGCTCAAGCCAGGAGTTTTAAGTTCAATTCAGACTTTACCCCAAAATGGCAATATAGACCCTGTCTAATATTTAGTCACTGCAGCTATCTAGACTTCTAGTTTTAACCACTTCTGACTGGTTAAAACAAATTACTCTGACTCTAGCTCTTCCATCTATCCACCAAATATACCCTTATATAAATCAGGAGTGGTACTGCAGCTGAGGCTGGAGATGAGGTGAGGGTTCTATAACCAAAAGAATTTATGACTTAGAGAATTTTCAAAATCATTTGTTCATGACTTTTTCACCACTTTGCATTTCTGTTTTGCTGTGGCATTCCCAAATCAATGACTGTCAAACATTTTGAGTAACTAAAGAAGGAAAAATGGAAGGTGTCCTGGGAACTATGAGAGAATATCTGTCATTGTGTGAAAATATTTTCTTGACATATAATTAAAAAATCATAAAACCAATCTCATAAAGAAGTGGCATAAAACTAGACTGAACACCAGGATGTATACATTAAATATGTGCACCTTTTGTATAGCAATCATACCTTAAGTTTTACAAAAGGAGAAAGGAAGTAAACTTTTAAAATGATGTTATGGCATAGACTGTGATGTATGTGTAAAGTAAATATGCATACCTTTTTGTTTACCTTTTTTATCAATCAGAGTGGAAACACAAGTCTAAAAGATATTTCAACCAGAACAAGATTTTTGTTTTCATTTTTTTAGGGTCTCAATTATTTTCAGAATTATGAAAATACTTCCCTAATTAATTAATCCTCCATACTAGAGTACTTTTAATTTCCACTTGAACCTAGAGAACAAAGAGAACTTCACTACCCTGCAGTCTAAGCTCTATATCAGGCATTCCTCGGGCACAGCAGGTTTGGGTACAGACTGCAGGTGTCTGGGGAGCACTGTGTGCTTACTGCACAGAGGTAGGTGGCTGAGTCACTGAGCTGGGAGTCTCTGATGAGCAGGGAAACATACTGGCTGGCTCTGTTGAGTTGTGCTGTAAACCTTCCAACTTCTTCATCACCATTGGAGTATATAGACATCAGCAGCTCAGGGCTTTTCCCAGAATATTGCCTGTACCAGTAAAAGGACTGAGAAGAACGGTCACTGTAAGTGCAGTTGAGAGAGGCAATGACTCCCTCTGGGATATTGAGGGGTCCAGAATTCTGCTCCACCTTCTGTTGGCTCCAAACCCCTGTGAAAAAGACAGTGGTCAGACAGAGAAGACCGGCTGGGCAATGAATGCTTACTCCCCAGAATTTAAATCCTCTTTTCACTGGTGCCCCCACTCTCCCTTAGTTAGAAAAAAAAAAGTCATGATTCTACCTATAAATGTAGAATATACAATAACTCCAAATACTGTACATTGTTTTCCTATATAGAGATGCCCAAAACTCACAGCTTAACTGAAGCCACAGGATCACTAGTAAAACTGTCAAGGATTTCATCATTCTTTTCTGCCCTGATTCACTGAGTATTTAAATTTTAAATTCTACAAAAAAAAAAAAATGAACCTAGAATGAATGTTTCTAGTTTTTCTACCTTAAAAATCATAAAAAGAATCTGTTTTACCAATTAGAAAAAGTGATGCTCTTTTTAACGCCCCTAATTCACCACTAAGCCCCTCCCCTTATCTTTCCTCTTCCTCCTCCTTCTTGTCTCTCTCTCTTTCTCTCTCTCTCTCTCTCTCTCCCCCACATACACACACACACACACACACACACACACGCACACACACAC